AAATATATATTTTATTTAAAATTTTCAGATATGTACATATATTTTAAATTTTTGCTTTAATTTTTGTCTCCTTTTAATATTTAATTAGATACCTTAAGATTAAAATAAGCTTAAAACGAAACAGCACAGCAACCCTTTTCTGTTCATCTTGAGAACACAAAACCCTCTTTTGTTAAAATTCGGCGCTGCACAAAATCCTGGCTTTTATATTTTCCAACAAAATACCACTTCGCAACCCTGGATTTTCACGAAGCGTTTCATTCGGGTCGTAGTTTGGCTACTTCGGGCCATTCGGTGTTGTATGCCATATTGGCTGCCATATTGTTCTCACTGTCATCGCCATATTGAACACCCTGTCAACTATCTGTCAACCCTAAGATATCTAACTGCCATCCCTAAATTGGCGCGACAAGCGCCAAACAACTTTCAAAAATCCTCATGCCCATACAATTGCCATACATTGCCATACAACATGCCGAGCAAATGGAATTTTCATTTTTGACAGGGCGTTACGTGTTGAAGTTGGATGCGGAAGACGGAAAGAAAGAGAAAGGACAAAAAAGTGAAAGAGGAAACGAGAATAAAAACGAGAGGATCTGAGAAAACGTCAAAAATTACGACGCGTTGATTTGGGGATAGCGCGCGCTGACACTCGTCGACAATGGATAACGCAACGCTTGGCGCTCCAATTTAGGGACGGCAGTCACTTGTATTCTTCCACAATGGCGTTAGCGCCGCGTTATTGTGGGATGCTTCATACAAATTGTATGGTCATGAGGATTTTTGGCAGTTGCTTGGCGCTTGACGCGTCAATTTAGAGATGGCAGTTCCTCGGAGATGAATATGCTAGGGATGAAATTATTGGTACCCACGCCTTCCAAGCACGCAGGGTTGCTTTTAAGAAACAAAAAATAATTAACTCCAAATAGTTTCAAAAAGTATAGTGTAAAACGAAATTTATTGAATAATTCCACATAAAATGGTATACATAATAGACTCATTTTATAAACGATTTAAATTAAACGCATTTGGGAATTGATAGAAAAGTACTACGGATTGTAAATTTTTGTTAACTATGAGGTGGATGAAAATTTTCAACCCGGCCTGACGGTTTTGAAGAATTTTTTTTATCTACTTTTATTACTAAGGCGTCTAATAA